AAAAAAAAAAAAAAAAAAAAAAAGAAAAAGAAAAAGAAAAACAAACAATTGCATATACAACAAGGGCAATTACAAAGTGACCATGTATGACCAGGGAAAGGCTCAGAAAAGATCTGAAGAGACCTTAGGATTACACCTCATTCTTCCTTTTATGTTGTTACAAATGTAAGCAAAACAGAATAAAATAGAAATTCATTTATTCTGCCAGTCAGACAGCAAACCAGCTAGCATGTATAGCTACATTCTCCAAGGTATTAGATTTGATCCTGAAGATACAAAGTAAATATGCTCAGGGCCCCTAAAGAATTCAGAACATGGTGGGAAATACTATAGAACAGTTAAGTTACTATGGAAGAAGTTCCATCCTACCATAGAAAAATGAACTAAAAGAGCTGGTGGAAATACAAGAGGTATTATCTAAGTCAGGGGAAAGCTGGCGAAGATTTCAGAGTTGACATTTGATCTAGGCATCTTAAAGGATGAAGAGAAGATTGGACGTGGAGGGCAGAATTTTCGTAGAGGTAATAAAATGTGCACAAGTTAGAAGGGATAAAAGTGGGGCAGGTACCAAGAAGAAGTCAGCCAAGACTACTTACTATCCATATGACTTTGCGCAAAAAATTGAACCTATTTCAACTGAAAAATAAGGATAATGGTATCTTCCTCAGAGAGCTGCTGTGAGGAAAATAAGATGGTAAATCAAGAAGGATGTGAGGCAACCTAGCTATGACATTTTCCACCACTGATTTCCAAAGCCGACTTGGCTGTTCTAGCTCAGATTGTCTCTCTCTCCTCTCATGGCTCCTCCAGAAGCTGGTCTACTTGGTAGAAGAGCATAACCTTCTCAATCATATACAATGGTCTAGCACAGTTCCTCACACATGGCATTTACTCAAAACACATTTACTTTTTTTTTTTTTTCTCCTTTCTTTAACCAGATGTTCAGAATTCCACTGACAGGCCTTAGAACTGCCCTGCAATCACTGCTGGGGTCCTAATTCTCAACTTGAGAACCAGCATTATGTTTAATAAGCACCCCACCCACTCTGTACATGTATTACTTCATACTTACAGGTTGAGGCTGTTCTGCAATACAGCAGTTGAAACACAACCAGAATTCACTCATGCTTACAGTCCAAGTTATAAATGAGCACCAATGAAGTTTCCAAATCTCAATTCAGGAAGCTTCACAAAGCAGGCTTCTCAATATGATAGATGTCCAAAGATGCCAAAATAATAACTTTATTACTTCTCTGTGTTTTTGTTCCTAGAAGTCAAGTATCTTATACAGTCAATCTAACAAACAAAAGGTCAGATTGTTTCCTTTCTTCGCTTTTGATTCTACAGGGACTCGTTACTGAACCACCAGGAAAGGTATAAAAATTGTTGTCTTGATTCAGGACCTTAACAGGTAGTCTAGAAAAAAAAGAAGAAAAGAAAAGAAGTTACTATACTTATCTTACCCTTAGAAGCTTTTATTTATTAAATATGTGATAAAATTAAGACTATTTCCCCAAAAAGTAAACATTAAAAAAAAATCAAGATTTTAATAAACTGATATTCATTCAATAAAAAATATTTGAGTACTTTCTCAGTGTCAGGTATTAGGAATATAGCAGTTGAAAGGAGACAGTAATCCTTGCCTTCATAGAGCATTCTATTTTATGACTGTAAAAGCTTTCCCCAAAGCCATGACTCTAAACCTTGTAAGACATAAATGACAGTTATTTTTATATTTGTATGGAAGATCTTCAATGAAGATTAATGTATATATGTTCAATGTCACAAATATGGGTAATAAGGCATGAATTTAGGACCCTGATTCTACACAGTCCAGAGGACATGTCCTCCAACATACTAGAGGACAATGACATGTTAAGATCTAAACATATGTTCAAAGAGAAAGATAAGAAGGAAGAAAATGTACATTCTTGCCACAGTAAAATTCAGAACCTGGAATGCTTATTTTCAAGGAGAGGTGAACATTCCCTATGTCACCCAAACTCCTAAACAAAGAAGTAGCAGTCTTGCAATTGGCTCTGTCCAATAAAGTGGGTAAATACTAGGAAGGTTTATAAGCTCAAAAGAACTGTATGTTTCATTTACTTCCTTAGCGAGAATGTAAGAGCAAAGGGTTAAATTCACAACATCATGAGTATTATTTCAGGGCTATTTACTTAACAAGCTTAATTCCTCCCTGAATCAAAGACCATGGCCATTAAAATATCATTGTGAAATCTCTTTTAACCAATTTTATGAAAACAAATATGCCTTTGTTTGAAACTGAAAATTCCTTATGGTCATCACTGCTGATGTAGCACATACAAACATGAATTACTCTGTTTCAAATCTACTGGATTTGAAATCTGAGGTTTTAAAATCTATTATTTGATTTATTCCATCATCATATTTTCTCATCTACATATAGAGCTAAGCAATTTCCTTTTTATTTGTAATTTACCTTTGCCAGAAACCACCTTCAAATACTAATTTTACACTGTAAGGTGTTTTATTTTCTATTTTTAACTGAGTATACATCCCTTTTGTTTAACACTTAAAAGTAACAGATGACTTCCGTATTTACAATCAACATTTTCGCAAATTCAGACTTCCTTCCTATTTATTTAGAGTATTTAGAGTAAAGCTGTTCCTTATTTTGCAAATTTCAAAATATACATTTTCCCATTCCCATGTACTACTTTGAAAACGACATTCACAATATTTCCTCTTTCTTAATATTTAGTTGAAGAATGACTGTTTAAAGTACAATAATTTGTGCTTCTATTTTTGGAGATAAGACAGAAAGGATACTTAAGAATAATGACCTAGATAATAGATATGATGAAATACATTTTCAAACCAAGGGGATGTTTGCAACTCCACAGGTTTTTGTTAAGTAAACATATAAATCTAAAAATGTTTCAAACATGCCTTGGAATATCATACCAATACACTTTTTCCATTTTCTTGCTTTTCTAAGCAAAATTCCTTTTTAGAATTTTTTTCAAATGTATATATACTTAGAAATGCACAAACTGCCAAGACTGAATCAGGAAGAAATAGAAAATATGAACAGACCAATCACAAACACTGAAATTGAAACTGTGATTAAAAATCTTCCAACAAACAAAAGCCCAGGACCAGATGGCTTCACAGGCGAATTCTATCAAACATTTAGAGAAGAGCTAACACCTATTCTTCTCAAACTCTTCCAAAATATAGCAGAGGGAGGAACACTCCCAAACTCATTCTACGAGGCCACCATCACCTTGATACCAAAACCAGACAAGGATGTCACAAAGAAAGAAAACTACAGGCCAATATCACTGATGAACATAGATGCAAAAATCCTCAACAAAATACTAGCAAACAGAATCCAACAGCACATTAAAAGGATCATACACCATGATCAAGTGGGGTTTATTCCAGGAATGCAAGGATTCTTCAATATACGCAAATCTATCAATGTGATTAACCATATTAACAAATTGAAGGAGAAAAACCATATGATCATCTCAATAGATGCAGAGAAAGCTTTTGACAAAATTCAACACCCATTTATGATAAAAACCCTGCAGAAAGTAGGTGTAGAGGGAACTTTCCTCAATATAATAAAGGCCGTATATGACAAGCCCACAGCCAACATCATCCTCAATGGCGAAAAACTGAAAGCATTTCCACTAAGGTCAGGAACAAGACAAGGTTGCCCACTCTCACCACTCTTATTCAACATAGTTTTGGAAGTTTTAGCCACAGCAATCAGAGAAGAAAAGGAAATAAAAGGAATCCAAATCGGAAAAGAAGAAGTAAAGCTGTCACTGTTTGCAGATGACATGATACTATACATAGAGAATCCTAAAGATGCTACCAGAAAACTACTAGAGCTAATCAATGAATTTGGTAAAGTAGCAGGATACAAAATTAATGCACAGAAATCTCTGGCATTCCTATATACTAACGATGAAAAATCTGAAAGTGAAATCAAGAAAACACTCCCATTTACCATTGCAACAAAAAGAATAAAATATCTAGGAATAAACCTACCTAAGGAGACAAAAGACCTGTATGCAGAAAATTATAAGACACTGATGAAAGAAATTAAAGATGATACAAACAGATGGAGAGATATACCATGTTCTTGGATTGGAAGAATCAACATTGTGAAAATGACTCTACTCCCCAAAGCAATCTATAGATTCAATGCAATCCCTATCAAACTACCACTGGCATTTTTCACAGAACTAGAACAAAAAATTTCACAATTTGTATGGAAACACAAAAGACCCCGAATAGCCAAAGCAATCTTGAGAACAAAAAATGGAGCTGGAGGAATCAGGCTGCCTGACTTCAGACTATACTACAAAGCTACAGTAATCAAGACAGTATGGTACTGGCACAAAAACAGAAAGATAGATCAATGGAATAGGATAGAAAGCCCAGAGATAAACCCATGCACATATGGTCACCTTATCTTTGATAAAGGTGGCAGGAATATACAGTGGAGAAAGGACAGCCCCTTCAATAAGTGGTGCTGGGAAAACTGGACAGGTACATGTAAAAGTATGAGATTAGATCACTCCCTAACACCATACACAAAAATAAGCTCAAAATGGATTAAAGACCTAAATGTAAGGCCAGAAACTATCAAACTCTTAGAGGAAAACATAGGCAGAACACTCTATGACATAAATCACAGCAAGATCCTTCTTGACCCATCTCCTAGAGTAATGGAGATAAAAACAAAAATAAACAAATGGGACCTAATGAAACTTCAAAGCTTTTGCACAGCAAAGGAAACCATAAACAAGACCAAAAGACAGCCCTCAGAATGGGAGAAAATATTTGCAAATGAATCAACTGACAAAGGATTAATCTCTAAAATTTACAGGCAGCTCATGCAGCTCAATAACAAAAAAATAAACAACCCAATCCAAAAATGGGCAGAAGACCTAAATAGACATTTCTCCAAAGAAGATATACAGACTGCCAACAAACACATGAAAGAATGCTCAACATCATTAATCATTAGAGAAATGCAAATCAAAACTACAATGAGATATCATCTCACACCAGTCAGAATGGCCATCATCAAAAAATCTAGAAACAATAAATGCTGGAGAGGGTGTGGAGAAAAGGGAACACTCTTGCACTGCTGGTGGGAATGTGAATTGGTTCAGCCACTATGGAGAACAGTATGGAGGTTCCTTAAAAAACTACAAATAGAACTACCATATGACCCAGCAATCCCACTACTAGGTATATACCCTGAGGAAACCAGAATTCAGAAAGAGTCATGTACCAAAATGTTCATTGCAGCTCTATTTACAATAGCCCGGAGATGGAAACAACCTAAGTGCCCGTCGTCGGATGAATGGATAAAGAAGATGTGGCACATATATACAATGGAATATTACTCAGCCATAAAAAGAAACGAAATTGAGCTATTTGTAATGAGGTGGATAGATCTAGAGTCTGTTATACGGAGTGAAGTAAGTCAGAAAGAGAAGGACAAATACCGTATGCTAACACATATATATGGAATTTAAGAAAAAAAAATGTTATGAAGAACCTAGGGGTAAAACAGGAATAAAGACAGAGACCTACTGGAGAACAGACTTGAGGATATGGGGAGGGGGAAGGGTGAGGTGAAGAAAAAAAAAAAAAAATGTATATATACTTAAAACACATTTATACATAAACACCTTGTAGAGAAGTATTGAATCTGTCACAAAAAATTTCAACACTACCACTAATAATAAATATATTAACAGGTACTTTCACTTCTTGAGCTCAAAGTTGCTTAAATCATGTCCATTTTGAAAACCTTACTTTAAAAAAGAAATCTTAAGATAACAAAAGAAGAGTCACTTTGCAACAACATCAACAACTAAACTTGGCTCTAAACACAGCTCAGCACATTCCACACATAAATGAACGGTCAAACTGGGCTACAGCACCAGAGAGTATTTCACGAACTCATAGTTTCATTAGACATAAGATTTTAGAAAAGCTTAAGTGAACTGTCAGCCCACTTAGTGACTGGCAGAGATTCCCTGCATTAAAAGTTCAGTCTCTTGACTTTTAAAGAGATTGTCATGAGTAAAAAAGTGTAGTAGTATTCTCTGGTCAAAAATATAACCTCCTCCGTCCCCTCCCCACCTCCTCACTTTCCACATCTACAAATGCTGCAGATATAAGCTTTATACTTGTGGGAACAGTTTCGCTGCTGACAATATGAAAAATTTATGTCCCAACATTGTACCCACAAATTAATAAAATTGTTTAGGCCAACTTCCAAAGAAACAACAATAAAGCCATGATTTGAAAAACAAGGCAATGAGGCATACATTTTAAGACAAACAATTTCTTCCCTTTTTTTTTTAACGTGGAATACTTTAACTCAGTTGAGGTATTGA